CAATAGGAATGGATTGGCTGAGTAGTAATGGAATATAGACTATTGAGTGAACAAAGATGGAAATATTGGGATCCTATTATTGATGGAACAGTCTGACTGGAGCATTTTACTTGGCAACAAGTGCCCAGTGCCCCCCAGACAGCCCTACCTTGCCAGCAGGCATTCAAGTTGTTCTGTCATCCTTCCCTCAATGCCCACAGCCATTAAGAGATTTCAAATTTCTTTCTCATTTCAGAAGCAGCCAATTGTCACTCACCCATCAAGCCTTGCTGCCAGCTGATTGGGTGTAGGGGACAGAGGGTGGTGGAAAGAGGTCAGGGATATACCCATGACAATCACGTGACCTGGGCTGACTGCGGTGGCACAGCAACACAGCAGTGCTGAAGCAGGCACAAATTTCCCAAATTTCACTCCCACAGGAATAATGGGTCCTGGATTTTGGACACATTCTGTAAGTTAGCCATTTGAGGTACCTTGGTTCAAAAATTGTTGCCCTATGATGTACCATTTCACCCAGTTGAAGGTTACAGACATGAGAGTTTTAATAGTATATAGATAAATGTCCATATGTGTGCACTTGCATGTTTCTGTCCATCCCTACCATTAAAAATTTGCTGTTAGTTAAGTAGTTTTGTACATCAGGGTTTCTCAGTATGTAAACTTCACTTGGTAAAACTACTTCAAGGAAAAACTGGGTGAATTGAAAAGAATCAAAAGATTTGGGGAAGTTTGACATGTTCTTGTTCCAGTAGGGGGTGCTGTTGCAGAGCCCTTCATCCCATATGCTACTGGGAGGTCAGAATCCAACCCTCAGTGTCTGCAAGTCTCTTTCTGCATGGAGATGAGGTCCTAGTTGACTTGTTGACTTTTCCAGCAGGATATCTTGGCAGGGTTGATAAATGACAAGCAGTGAGTGTAGAAAATGGCTGGAAAAGCAGGTGCACAAAGTCTCTTGATAATCCAGCTGGCCCACTGTTGCACTTTTTTTTTCCAAGAGATGGACGGGACGAGTTGCTGTGTGAATACTGAGCTTCTTATAGACTCCTGCCTTGCAAAGCTGAAACTTCTTCCTTAGCTGCATCTGGGCCTCAACTGTCAGGTGAACGAGAGTTGAACTCCCAAAGCGTTTTATTATTCCTGCGAGTGCCAAGTCTTTGCCCTGTAAAGTTGAAAAGAATAGTGTCCTTGAGTATGTGTATGGAGGATGAATATTGCTCAGGATGAAAATAAATAATTTTTTTAAAAAATGATCTGAATAGGTTGTGTCCAAGGCTATACCAGTGGGAGAACAGGAGGTGCATCATTCCAGCAACATTTGCAGAATCATTAAGGGAACATTAACACCACCAATCCAGGCAACTAATGTGTACTTGTGTCAATGTTTGTGCAAAGAGAATCAAAATGTTGCATTTGATACTTCCACAACAGGGTTTCAATAGAGTGTGGAAGCTTTGTGCTAACAAACACAGCAGTTGTCCCTCATATTTGCTCTGCTCGACATCTTGTTCTTCCTGAATCTGCAATATTCATAGTTTGTCTGCACATTTATTTAATCTGCATCGTTCCTCTTCAGTACTTTATTGAAATACCATTGGCATGTTAATAGAGGAGGAGGAGGAGATTTTCTTAGTACAACTGCAGTGTATTTTGAAAATACGTTTGTCATTGAGTGTGTTGCAGTTGGAATATCTTGTGTCAACCAAGCCATCCCAAGATTTCTTTCTTTCAGCATTCCATTACATGAACCCAGCAATTATATTTTATTAACCAGGATTTAAGGCTTAGGGCAATTCCACATCGCAGCCTGAAATGCTTGTCTCCCATGCTGTCCTGCCTCTTTCTTAAGCCAACTTCAGGATTTTCAGTCTGGAATGCAGTGGGTTAGCAACAGGATGGAGCTGGTGCTCAGCCTGGAATATGGGCACTGCAAGACCCGATTGGTTGTTCCCCTGCTAGCTTCTGTGTGGGCAGTCTTGTCTACTGGTCTTCCTGTCCTTTACTTTTAGCGATTGTTCCCTCAGGTCCATGGAAACTTTTTAGCAAGGAAGAATGGATAGTTCTCAAAGAAATAAAATAGCATGTTTTATTTCTTTTCTTCTTATGTTGCAACTTAAAAATGTTTAAACAAATAAAGGAAAGAAAGCTTTGCAGTACTAAGGATAGAGGGTGAGAAGGCAAGGAGACCCTGCTTCACTCAGCCTGGGCAAAGTAAAGGTTGAATGGCGTATGAGCTTCTAGGGTTAAGGATTGTTCATTGACTTCATGGGCTACCACTGGGTCAATTTCAAGGTTGTAAGAAAACCAGCAACTGCTGATCAGCAGAGAACGTAGGATCCCAGCAGTCCAGGACATGGTAGTTCAGATCAGCAACCAGCTGCTGGAGGGGAGGGGGCATGCCAGGCACTGCAGTCAGTCGGAGCTGGGGCTGCTACTAGAATGGAAAGAAGCTCTCAAGACCATCTGCACTGAAGGGCTTAAGATATCTCAGGTTGGAAAACAGTTTTGAATGAAAGCTGGAAAACATGGGTGCAGCATGCATTGGTGATGGGTTGGAAGGGGGAAGGGGATGACCTAATCTGTTCCTGCAGTCAGAATGTACAGTAGTGATGGGTCAAGCAGAAAGTGTGGACTTGCCTTTAGTATGTCTTCTGAACCCAGCCCATTCAGTTGAAGAAAGGAGAATAGGAAGGCATTGGAGGATTAAAGAGAATAATTGGTGGGTCCAGGGAAAGATTAAGCATGCCCTCCTTTTTGGGCAGTTCTCCAGGTCCAGATATTCACTTTCAAGGCAAATAAAAGGCTGGGGAAAATGGTCTTTGTTCCATTTCTTTTTAGAAAAGTGATTTCCATATCCTGGGAGAAGAAGGGCCCTACAAACCTCAGATGAGATTGCTTTCATTGGATCCCAACAGTGCCAGGACCAAACACGAGACGCCAAGAATTGAGGTATTTATTCCTATACCTTTCATTACCCCCACTTTTATGACCTGTTGTTCCAGTAATTGTGAAAAGGCTCACTCCAGCCTTTTATATTTTGTGGGAACTTCAACATTCTGGCTTTTTCGTTTGCCTTTCAGTTTTGTTTACATGTCCTACTTTTGTAGCTTAGATCTGGGAAGAAGACCCCTCACTTCTTGAAGAATATTTGTCCCTGGTCTCTTTGTTTGGCTTGTGTCTTGAGGCAGTATTTCAACAAAGTGGAAATTCTGAGTTGCACTTTAGAGAGTTTCTTAAAATTATTTGTGGGGTGGGATGGAGTGATTGTTGACTGTTGTTTAACTTAGTCGTATTTTATTGCATTGTTTTCATCCGCAGTTCCCTCCCTTCTCTGGCAAAGGGCTGCTGGTAGCTTATAAAGAGGACAAAATGTAGAATCCTTTGAGTCTGAGACCCGTGCAGTCAAATGAGTCTTCTTGCAAATGCCCTGATGCACAATAAATACTCAAAGCAGTGGAAAAGCTGATGAATGACAGTTGGCTCTAGACCAGTGTTTCTCAACCTTGGCAACTTTAAGATATGTGGACTTCAACTCCCAGGATTCTTCAGTTCGCCATTTCTTCCCTGGAAGGCTCTACTTTGGCCCTCATCTCTCCTTACTGCATATATAAACATTTGCCCATATCCATATTCTCTCTCATTCCAGAGGGTAGGACAAAGAATAATAGGGTTAAGTTACAGGCAGGGATATTCCAACCAAATGTAAGGAAAAAAAATTCTTGCAGTAAGAACAGTTTGGTGTTGAAGCCAATAACTTCACCACCATAACTGGTGGGCTCCCCTTCACTGAATGCATTCCAATGGAGGCTAGTCTTGATATCTCATTTGGATTCCTGCACTGAGAAGGAGATCAGACTTAATTGCTTCAATGGCCCCTTCCAACTGTATGATTCTATGGTAAATCTCTATAAGGAGTTTCATCAGGAGGACTTGCAAAATCTTTTCAGAGCTATCCCTATGTTATTTCCAGAGCTTCCTTGATATGAAGGAATTTGGTGTGTCCCCTGAGATGTCATAGCAAGTGGCAGCACCCATCCAACCTTGGCTAACCTTGAAAAACCTAAGCAGGGTTGGACCTGGTTAGTGCTTCAGTGGAAGAACATCATGAAGCACCAATGAATGGAAAGAAATAATCCAAGAAGAAGACAATGACAGACCACTTCTGTATAGATGTGCACAGGGAAATGGATGTACACAAGTACTCACCAGGAATCAAACTTGACTTGAGGGAGTCTTCATTGTTACTTCCCCTAAGGGGAGAATTTCGGTCAGGAGAGGAGTAAATTTCTCAGGATGGTTTGCCCATCCTCATGAATTGTCTTGATTTGGTGAAACCTTCCAGAATTAGGGCCCTTGGTGACCCCCAAGGGATCCCTAAGAGCCAAAGACTAATGCATCATGAGCAAGGCAAACATAATACCGGGATGTATGTGTGCACAGTCTCTCTCTTTCATACATATGTAAGCCCATAATTTGAAGATCTGTCAAGGGGCTGCCTGAAGCTAAAGATAAGAGTTACATTTCCTTGTTTTGTCATCCGCCTAGAGTCCTGTCTCACCACAGGAACGTCTGTTTCTCTTTCCTGGCTGTGTCCACAGGTTTCAGATTGCATGAATAGAAGAATGAGACCTAGGAGGGAGGGTGGCAGGCATAGCTAATCACAGGCCCTCACTTGGGTGGCAACGGCGGCTGCTATCCGAGTACATACTCTCCATTTGAATGGCCTCCTCATAACAAGAACAGAGCTCCATTTTGAGGTGGGCAGCCAAGTTTGCAGGAAGTCCCACCTCAAACAACACTTACTTTTCTCCTCTGGTTTCACTTCAAAGTATCTTTGCAGCTGCGTGAGGCCCTTGGAGTCACAGGAAAGGCTGTGTCTTTGAGAGAATAGATATACTCTGAGGAGGAACTTAGAAATTTATCCTTTCTTGCAAAGCAGAAAGGAGATTTTTCCAGAAGACCATAAGTCCAGTGACTCCCCGGTGTTTTAAACTGGCATTTTAAGATAAGGATTCTGATGTTTATAATCGATACTTGAGAGTTAACAGTGCAATCCTATGAAGTTCAAGGAGATTTGTTCAAAAGTACATTCTTAGCAAATATACTATAGTCCTGCTTAGAAACTGATTGTTTCTTCTCATCATCCTTCCTATCCCAAAACTAGATAATTTTATATTCCGTAAATATTTGGCATTTAAAAGAAATTTGAGAGTGATCATTTGGAGACAAAGTTCAGCGCGCTGCAAGGATCCTTTCCCAAACTCATTTCAAAGACTTCAAATGTCTGTTTTACAAAAATCCCTACATGGTGTAAAATTGATACATAAAAAGAGAAATCTATAAATAAGAAAACAAATT